TAATAATAACAATACAATACATCCCTAGGAAAATAATTATAAATAAGCATACATTAACATTATCAGTTATAACAGAGAGAATTATGATTACATTTTTATCATTGCGTACAGTATAGCTGGGGCATTATATCTCATAATATCAATACTAGTTATTGTTATTTTTACAGCTACTATTAAAATATCACGATTGTATATCCAAAGACAAGCATATAAAACTTTTATAGAACTGTTCTCATAGATATTGAAATGCATAAGAGGAACAAAATCTTTTGTTCTAAAAACAAATCAAAGTAGTTGCTTCAACAATGCATGTAGACTACTAACTACTAATACATGCACTCATGCATAAATCAAGATTCACTAACATAACTATAACTTCCTGCAGAATCATAATAGGCTTATGTTTTCTTTAAATTTGTGTACACAATGTTTACTGAGTTTTCAATTTGCACTTCACAAGCCAATTCAACTGCAGCCATCATGACCATTTACTCTATAGTCATGTTATCATAATAGCTAGCTATAATAGTGTAGGCATCTTGTGGAGTGTGTGCATTAGACAGCAAAACTGTACTAGCTAGCTCCTCTTTTGTCTGAAGATAAGCTACGAGACATGGGTGACAGTGAGAGTAACACCACTACTTGTGATGGCAAAGATGTAGTTACCAAAATCATTGTGATAAAAGGAGTCTTTGGTGGTCTAGGAGCAATAGCATGTACAGTGGCACTGGTCTTTGCAATAGTCAGTAGATTCTATAAAGATATTGTACAAAGATTGATATTCTACAAACTGATTGCAATGTTAATCTACTCGCTATGTCTATCTTTGTTACATAGTTATGATGACTCCATCATATACAAAGCAATGAATGTAGTTATTCCACTTATTCTCTATTGTGCTAATCTAGTTTTCACTTTCTGGCTAACTACTGTACTCCATTTTTGTATTGTACACCTCAAGGAACTGAAAAACTTAAAGAAATTGGAACCAATTGCAATCATAACGTCATGCCTTCCTCTTGCTATAGCTGTGTACATCCCCTATGCTAGATTTGATACCTGCACACCAATAATGTATGTCACATTTGCAAAGAAAGCCTCAGGAAAAAATTATGATAGCTACCATTCTATAATTGGCTGTAGTATAGTAGGAATATTATACTTCATAGTATCAATACTAGTTGTCATAATTTTTATTGTAACAATCAGAAGATCACGAATGCATCATCAAAGACAAGATGACAATGAAGCAGAGTCTCTACTGGTCACTAATAATAAATGGAAAACACTTAGGAAGCAGTTACTACCACTAGTAGTATATCCAATAGTTAACACAGTAATGGCAATGGTTTTCTTGCCACTTTTATTTGTCACTGGTAATATTTCTAATGGTGTGTATCTCTATTCATTAGTAACCTCTTCAGGCCTAATAACTGGTACTATTGTTATAATACATCTATACATAGTGAAATGTAAAAAGAAACAAAGAGAAAAGAAGAGAATGAAAAAGAATGACGAGTCACCAGAATCTTTCTGTGTTGTGTCTAATAATCATGATAATGTCTTCACAAGAGAAACAGTTGCCTCAACAAATGCTCGTACTACCTACCAATACACTCGTACGTCAAGTTTTACAACTGATGATGAACTAGATGCATTGCCAATTAACTAACATAAACTTTGATGAAAATATTTTGTAAACTAACTGTTTGCTTTGTCAAAAATTGTTTTAAAATTTAAAAGTGCAACAATTAAGCATGACTTTACTGTGGGTTGGATTCTACCTTTAATTTGTGTATTTTTTTATATAACCACAACTAGATCTAGCTCCTTTTCATATGTAACAGCAAAACAAGACTAGCAGAGTCACTAACATTATGTAGGTATTATTCACTCTTGCTAATAATAAGCATCAACAAAACATTACTTTCAATGAATTAATAGATTCTGGTTTGTACAATAGTAACTATTACTCTATCATTCCCATTATATCATGTGACTTCATGGAATGCCAATTTGTACTTACAGCTCCGCCTTTATTTCTGTTCCTTCACTGCAGTAAGATCTACAAACATGCATAGCAATAGCAGCAACACCACTACCTGTGATGGTTTAACAACTGTAGATGCAGTCACCATAATGGAAGGAGTCATGGCTGGTATAGGAGCAATAGCATGTACAGTGGCACTGGTCTTTGCAATAGTCAGTAGATTCTATAAAGATATTGTACAAAGACAGATATTGTACAAACTGATTGCAATGCTGATCTACTCACTATCTCTGTTTATGTCACGTAGATATGATGACTCCATCATATACAAAGCAATGACTGTACTTATTCCACATATCGTCTATTGTGTTAATCTAGTTTTCACCTTCTGGCTAACTATTGTACTTCATCTTTGTATTGTGCACCTCAAGGAACTAAAAAACTTTAAGAAATTGGAACCAATTGCAATCATAACATCATGCCTTCCTCTTACCATAGCTGTGTACATCCCCTTTGCTAGTATTGATACCTGTACACAGACATTGCATATTGCATTCACAGAGGGAGGAGAGAATTATGATTATGTTTTTATTATTGGGTACAGTATAGCTGGGATATTATATTTTATAATATCAATACTAGTTATTGTTATTTTTATAGCTACTATTAAAAGATCACAATTGGATCTCCAAAGACAAAATGAGCAACAAGCCCATCCTCTACTGGTCACTAATAATAAATGGAAAACACTTAGCAAGCAGTTACTACCACTAGTAGTATATCCAATAGTTAATACAGTAATGGCAATGGTTTTCTTTCCACTTCTAGTTGTCTATTATTATACTGGTGATATTTCTAATGGTGTGTATTCTTTAATATCCTCTTCTGGTTTTATCACTGGTATTATTGTTATAATACATCTATGCATAGTGAAGTGTAAGAAGAAACAAAGAGAGAGGAAGAGAGTGAAACAAAATGATAAATTACAAGAACCTTTTTGTATAGTGTCTAATAATCATGATGATGTCTTCACAAAAGAAACAGTTGCTTCAACAAATGCACGTACTACCTACCAATACATTCATACATCAAGTGTTGCTGATGAAGAACTAGAACCATTTGCTAACTAACTTAAGTTTTTAACTGTTTAATAATTATAAACTTATAATGAATATACTAAACTTATAATGAATATAGTAACTTAATTGATGTGGTTTCATGTTTTAACATTATTCTGACAATTAAAATAATGTATGTGACTTCTGCAAAATTTCCCTTGTTATTATAAATGACAAATTACAAAATCTTCCCGTGTAGTGTCTACTATTTTTACAAGTAAAACATTTGCTTCAACAAAGCATGTACTACATACTAATACATGCACTTACGCATAAATCAAGTTTCACTGACATAATCATAACTTAATAATATTACTTGCTGAATTATATACAGGCTTATGTTTTTTTTACATTTGTGTACACAATTATTACTGAGTTTTCGATATGCACTTCACCAGCCAATTCAACTGCAACCATTTTGACCATTTACTCTATAGTCATGTTATCATAATAGCTAGCTATAATAGTGCAAGCATCTTGTGGAGTGTGTGCATTAAACAGCAAAACTGTACTTGCTAGCTCCTCTTTTGTCTGAAGATAAGTTACAGGACATGGATAACAATGACAGCAACACCACAACTTGTGAAGGCACAGATGTAGTTATCAAAATCAAAATTGTGATAGAATGAGTCTTTGGTGGTCTAGGAGTCATAGCATGTACAGTGGCACTGGTCTTTGCAATAGTCAGTAGATTCTATAAAGATATTGTACAAAGACTGATAATGTACAAACTGATTGCAATGTTAATCTACTCGCTATCTCTTTTTATGTCACGTCAATATGATGACTCCCATATATACAAAGCAATGACTGTAGTTATTCAGCGTATTGTCTATTGTGCTAATCTAGTTTTCACCTTCTGGCTAACTATTGTACTCCATTTTTGTATTGTTCACCTCAAGGAACTGAAAAATTTAAAAAAATTGGAACCAATTGCAATCATAATGTCATTCCTTACTCTTGCTATAGCTGTGTACATCCTTTTTGCTAGATTTGATAACTGCACACATTCATTGCATATTGCATTTACAAAGGGAAAAGAGAGCTATGATTACATTTCTTTAATTGGTTATAGTATAATAGGAATTAATATCCTATGAAGCTCAAAAATATATATAAACCTTACAAACTACCAAAGGGTAGAAAGAAGGTAGGGTTGGTAACTTTCGTATGGGCCACACCCCCTAAGCTTGCAACACAAATAAATGGTGGTCAAACTGAACCCGAGGCTAGCAGAGCTGCATTTCCCCCGAGCATGGGGTCCGCCTCCACACAGCAAATTGGTCCGCCCAGTCCCTAGGACCTAAACCTAACAATGTATCCTACGGCCTACTCCTAGAACCTAACCTACACCCTAGAAGCAAACTAACTCCTATTACTAGGATTTGGACGGACCATAGCTGTGGCACAATCAGCTGCTTGAGATAAATAGGTATGCTGCATTACCTATGCAACTCGGGTCAGGCAATTACCCACCATGCGAGCCTTTGTGAGCATTAAGGCTTGCAGCAACAGAAGATACAAAATAATGAATTAGGGGGAGTGTGGGTCAAAGACCCTGCCTTCACGCCTCACAGGCGGAGAATACAATAATAATACACACAAACATATAATAGAGGGAGGGAGGGAGGGAGAGATTGAAGGGAGAGACAGAGAAACAATAACACACAGAGCAGCCAGCAGCCAATAATACTCAGAATAGCCAGCAGCCACTAATACTCAGAGCAGCCAGCAGCCACTAATACTCAGAGCAGCCAGCAGCCAATAATACTCAGAGCAGCCAGCAGCCAGCAGTGTGATTGCAACAAAAGCAACGCAATGTGCTAACAGCAAAGCCACGCCTGCAGACCAACCCTAGCCATGTGGCAATCAGTTCATGGATATTAACTTCGTTTAACCTAGGTGCTTAAACTCCAATTTTGAAGATGCAAAGTATAATCTCTGTGACATTAGTGTCTTTGTGACTGGCAAGTACTGTCCCTTGAAACCTGGAATATATCATGGAATATATAAGGACACAATTCCTTCATTTCTGTGGCCAGTAAGTAATTTTTGATGCATAGAATATTTGTTATTCTAATTAATAGGGCAAGTATATTTTCAAAATTTATGGCTATAATGAAGATAATGTTGAAGTATTCTGTGCAATGACAGAAGTTAATGTTGAGAAATGAGTAACTCCTAATTATTTAACATTAATTTTCGTGATAATTAGCTGCTTAAAAATAATATTAGTTATCAATAACAGTAGATCCAATCATTAATTAATGTTATTTTAACTGAAAGACAGGAAATATACACAGACCTGGAACAGTTGCTAAAGTTTAGTATAGAATACTAAGAATAGAAAGAAGATGAGTGTTCTCCTACTGATAATCCTAACAGTTATACCTAGTCTACCAACATTGACTGGATCTACTAACAATTACTACAATGGTAAGACAATGACTAGATTTATATACCTATTTGAATTATATGCACTATATCAACAACAAGAACCTACTGATAATAAAGGATCATACACAGATTGTTGTAAGTTCAGTAATGCATTATTGATTAATTCTCTGACATACATACATGTAAAAGCTATTACTCATGATTTTGGTAACATAACTAATATATCATCTTCTGCATTCAACACACCAATTAAACAAAGACAGAGCTATGATATTCAAGGAGTCATAAATATAAGTAATGAAGATACATGTACATGTATTTCAAAAGGTAACATATTAAATATAATAATTTTATTTTTCAGAAAAGAAATTGCAAGGGGGCATATTACATATAATCGTAACACATCCATTCAAAAATTACATAAACCTTACTTTTGTGGATGCTAAGTATAACCTCTGTGACATGATTGTCTCCTTCATTGGTGAATACTGTCCTCTAAAACCTGGAATATATCATGGAAAATTTGAGAATACAATTCCATCACTTTACTGGCCAGTCAGTAATAACAAAACACAGTTTATGATTAATTTATAATAAACAACTATTTTAACTTATAGGGCAAGTATCATTTTAAAGCTTTGGCTTATGATGAGAATGATGATGAAATATATTGTGGAATGATAGAAGTTGATATAAAAAAATGAGATTATGCATCATAATAAAAACTGTTAATGTACTATACATAGAAATATTGAGTTGATTTAGAAATTATGGAACATACAAGTTTAAGATACTTTAACTTAGATACACAGAACAAAAATAATCACCATCAGGAAAGTAATGTTTATCTAGCTATATAGAGAACAAAGGTAAGCAAACATTATTATAGGAATTAACTATGACTATGGACACTTGTACACACATGAGCCTGAATCTACATTCAGACATTATGCCTGAGCATCAATAATAAATCGTTCACTACATGATTAATAAAGCAACTGCCTATGATAAACAAATGAAGTTAAAGGACATTAATTTGTAAGTGACAGTTTATGGAGGATAAAGAGTATAATAAGTTTATTTTACATTAGACAAAAAGTACATAAAGTAAATAACATAACCAACACTTATAATCAAAGGGATTGCTAATTCTAACCATATACTGATCGTTCCATCACTCAGTGCCCACACAAATGCCATATATGATGTATATTAGCATAATGTATAGCTTTAGTACTATAAGTTATTTAAGTAATAAGTGCTATTGAAAACATTGTTTTCAGTCAAGTCATAAAGTAATTTATTGTGTGTTATTCAACTAAAAGTCAGCAGCATATTCAAAACATGAGACAATGCATAAAATAAACACAAGCAATAACATTCAATAACAATATAACAATATGAGGGGATATATAGGCACTATCACTGTAACACATACATCACTAGCAACAAGAAGAATGATGAACATCCTATTGATAATCCTATCAGTTGTACTAGTAGTATCTACATTGACTGGATCTACTAACAATTACTACAATGGTAAGATACTGACTACTATACTAATGGATAATATACCTGTTTCAATTATATATACTATCAACAACAAGAACCTGTTGGTAATAAAGGATTGACAGATTGTTGTAAGTTCAGTAAAACACTATTGATTAATTCTCTCATACATAAGCTATTACTAATGATTATGTTACAATAACTAATGTATCATCAAATATATTTGGGCAAACAATGAAACCAGGACATAAAGTTTACTTCAAAGGAATCATAACTTTAAGTAACAAAGACAATTACTACAAATATCATTTAATGTTTTACTTGATAGAAAAGGAATTCAAATGGGGCATTATGAATGCCAAAATAACACATCAGTTTAAAAATTATGTTAATCTCACTTTTGAAGATTCAAACTATAATCTCTGTGACATTAGCGTCTCTGTAACTGGCAAGTATTGTCCGTTGAAACCTGGATTATACCATGGAATATATAAAGACACAATTCCTTCAGTTCTGTGGCCAGTAAGTAAAAAATACATAGATCTACAGCTTATGATACATTGCAAAATTTGTTATTCTAATAATAGGGCAAGTATATTTTCAAAATTATTGGCTATAATGAAGATAATGTTGAACTATTCTGTGCAATGACAGAAGTTAATGCTGAGAAATGAGTAACTCCTAATTATTCAACATAAATTTTGTGACTAAAAATATGAATTAGCTGCTTAAATATAATATTAGTTATATAATAACAGTAGATCTATTCATTAAAGCAAGGAAGGATATAGATGTATTGCTGAATCATTAAACATGCGGCTACATAGATACACTTAAAGTGATATTTTAACTAAGTGACAGTAGAAGGTGAAGCATGTGCAAAACGTATACCGGTATTATACTAAACAGTTATAACATCATAAACAAATATAATTTGAGTGGTGCAATTACTTCATCACACATCACTAACAGCAAAGAAGGAAGATGAGTTTTCTACTGTTACTTCTATCAGTTGTACTAGTAGTAGCTACATTGACTGGATCTACTAACAATTACTACAATGGTAAGATACTGACTACTATACTAATGGATAATATACCTGTTTCAATTATATATACTACCAACAACAAGAACCAACAGGATCATTTACATTAGTCCATCATGACACAAAAATATCCTTTTACTTTTTAACAAACGCATAAAACTACTGCTTCTCATGCATTTATTGGAATAACAAATATATCATCACTTGCATCTGTAAAAGCAATGAAACTGGGAGATAATTACATTATCACAGGAGTCATGAATTTAAGTAATGAAAATATTGTGAGATGTATTATTATTGTATTATGTGCATTATTAATAGGTGATTATTAATAGCTATTTATTAACTTAGTTTATTAATATGTGTTTATGAATGTTTATTCAAGTTATTTGTGTGGTATAAATGTGAGGTTGTTGTGGTTTTGAGACATTATGATTCTTACTCTCTAGACTCTAGTCTCTCTTTCTCTCTTTCTTTCTCTCTTTCTCTCTTTCATTTAATCAATTGAGTTCATTGTTAACCTAAGTTCTCCTAATTGTTGCAAATCTTACAAATATAACTAATGATATCAAATTAACATTATTTTTGTCATTCAGAGAAAGAATTAAAATGGGGGACACTGCATGTAACAATGACAAATCAATATAAAAATTATATAAATACATGTATTACTTCTTTGGATTCAATGTATAATCTTTGTGATATGATAGTTTTAGTCAGTACCACTGGTGTATACTGCCCATTGAAACCTGGAATATATCATGGACTATATAATGATACAATTCCAAAAGCGGCTCTCTGGCCAGTCAGTAAAAACATAATTACTAAATATAAGTTATTCTAATTTACAGGGAAAGTACAGTCTAAAAGTTGTTGCATCTAACGTTAATAGTGATGAAATATGTTGTGGAATGGTTGAACTTACTATACAACAATAATAATATCATTCATTGTAGAAGCTTCATTATTATTTATTATAATGATGCAAGTCATGCATTACACAAACTATTACATTAATATTAGTAACGCTACCGTGTTACTAAATAGGATTTACCCCACTTCAAATTAGTCATGTAGATAGTCCATATTCAAAATTAATGTTATTTTAACTGAAAAATAGGAAATGTACATAGACCTGCAACAGTTGCAAAAGCTTATTATAGAATAGGAAGAAGATGAGTGCTCTCCTACTGATTATCCTAACAGTTATACCTAGTTTACCAATATTGACTGGATCTACTAACAATTACTACAATGGTAAGATACTGACTATTATACTAATGGATAATATACCTTTTCGAATTATATATGCTATCAACAACAAGAACCTACTGGTAATAAAGGATTCACAGATTGTTGTAAGTTCAGTAATACTTGATTAATTCTCTTACATGCATAAAAGCTATTACTCATGACTTTGTTATCACGACTGATGTATCATTTAACACAACAATTAAACGAGGACAGAGCTATGATATTCAAGGAGTCATAAATTTAAGTAATGAAGATACTTGTACATGTATTTCAAAAGGTAACATATTAAACATAATAACTTTATTTTTTAGAAAAGAAATTGCAAGGGGGCATATTGCATGTAACAATAACACATCCATTCAAAAATTACATAAACATTACTTTTGTGGATGCTAAGTATAATCTCTGTGACATGATAGTCTTCTTTACTGGTGAATACTGCCCACTGAAGCCTGGAGTATATCATGGAAAATTTGAGAATACAACTCCATCACTTTACTGGCCAGTCAGTAATAACAAAACACAGTCTATGATTAATTTATAATTACCAAATATTTTAACTCCTAGGGCAAGTATCATTTTAAAGCTTTGGCTTATGATGAGAGTGATGATGAAATATATTGTGGAACGATGAAAGTTGACATAAAATGACATTACACATTATAACAAAAACTGTTAGTTTACCATACATAGAAATACTAAAATTGAGTTAGAAAATACAGAACATACAAGTTTTAGATACTTTAACTTAGTTACACCAACAAAAAAAATCACTGTCAGGAAAGTAATGTTTATTTAGCTATATAGAGATCAAAGTTAAGCATTATAATAGGAACTAAGGATTTATGACTATGGATACATGTGGCACACATAAGCCTGACATTATATTCAGATACTGTGCCTGAGCATCAATTATAAATCACTTACTGCACTATAAATAAAGCAATGACCAAAAATGAACAAATAAAGCTAAAGGAAATTAATTTGTAAATGACGGTATAAGGAAGATAATGAGTAATTAGTTTATTTTACATTAAACTGAAAGTACATAAAGTATACTTACACAACTAACACATAACATAAAAGGGATTGCTAATGCTAACCATATACTGATCATTTAATCCAGAACTACCCACACGAATGCCATATGATATATACTAGCACAATATCGATGCTTGTATAACTTTAGTATATAAGTTATTCATGTAGATCTATACCCATAAGTCACAATATGTAGAGTAGTCAAAGTGACCAAAGTTACTAGTAACTCCACTTTTTTTTCTTACATATTGATGTCCTCATATTTTGCCACATATGAACTATTTATCAAGAGGTGCGTTAATTGGGGCGAGTACAGTATATTTACACAACCAACACCTAACATCAAAGGGACTGCTAATGCTAGCCATATACTGATCATTCAATCCAGAACTACCCACACTAATGCCATATGATATATACTAGCATAATATAGATGCTTGTATAATTTTAGTGTATAATTTATTCAAATAATGCATCCCTACATTTTAACCAACCAAAGTGCTAACCAAAGGCATTGCTTTGAGATAAGCCATAAAGTATTTATTGTATGTTATTCAACTAAAAGTCAGCAGCATATTCAAAGCGTGTGACAATTTATAAAACAAACACAATTGATAACATTCAATAACAATAATTATAACAATATGAGAGGACTTATAGGTACTACCACTGTAACAAATCATTACTAGCAACAACTTGAGACGAAATGATGAATGTCTTATTGATGATCCTATCAGTTGTACTAGTAGTATCTACATTGACTGGATCTACTAACAATTACTACAATGGTAAGATACTTACTACTATACTAATGGATAATATACCTGTTTGAATTATATATACTATCAACAATAAGAACCTACTGATAATAAAGGAGTCACAGATTGTTGTAAGTTCAGTAATACACTATTGATTAATTCTCTTATACATAAGCTATTACTAATGATTTTGTTACCATAACTAATGTATCATCAAATATATTTGGGCAAACAATTAAACCAGGACATAAATATTACTTCAAAGGAATCGCTAATATAAGTAACATAGACAACTATTACTAATGTTAGTTTAATATTTTTTGTTAGAAAAGGAACTCAAATGGGGCATTATGCATAGCACAATAACACATCAATTCAAGAACTACGTTAATCTTACTTTTGAGGATTCAAAGTATAATCTCTGTGACATTAGTGTCTTTGTGACTGGCAAGTACTGTCCCTTGAAACCTGGAATATACCATGGAATATATAAGGACATAATTCCTTCATTTCTGTGGCCAGTAAGCAACAAATAGATCTACAGCATATGAGACATTACAAATTTGTTATTCTAATTAATAGGGCAAGTATATTTTCAAAATTATTGGCTATAATGGAGATAATGTTGAACTATTCTGTGCAATGACAGAAGTTAATGTTGAGAAATGAGTAACTCCTAATAATTTAACATTAATTTTTGTGATTAGAAATATAAATTAGCAGCTTAAATATAATGTCTAGTTATTTAAAAACAGTAGATCTATTCATATAAGCAAGGAAGAATATAGATGTATTGCTGAATCATTAAACATGTGGCTAATAGATACACTTAAAGTGCTATTTTAACTAAATGACAGCAGAAGGTGAAGCATGTGCAAAACATATATTACACTAAACAGTCATAACATCATAAACAAATATTACTTGAGTAGTGCAATCGCTTTATCATACATCACTAACAGCAGAGAAAGGAGATGAGTTTTCTACTGTTACTTCTATCAGTTGTACTAGTAGTATCTACATTGACTGGATCTACTAACAATTACTACAATGGTAAGATAATGACTACTATACTAATGGATAATATACCTGTTTCAATATACTATCAACAACAAGAACCTACTGGCAATAAAGGATCATACACAGATTGTTGTAAGTTAAGTAGTACTTGATTAATTAATTTTCTTACATGCATAAAGCTATTACTCATGATTTTGTTATCATAACTAATGTATCATTCAACAAAACAATTAAACGAGGACAGAGTTATGATGTCCAAGCTGGAGTCATGAATTTAAGTAATGAAGATACATGTACATGTATTTCAAAAGGTAACATATTAAACACAACATTTTTTTAGAAAAGAAACTGCAAGGGGGTATAGTGCATATAATCGTAACACATCAATACAAAAATTACATAAACCTTACTTTTGTGGATGCTAAGTATAATCTCTGTGACATGGTTGTCTCTATTACTGGTATGTACTGCCCACTGAAGCCTGGAATATATCATTATGGAAAATTTGAGAATAGAATTCCATCACTTTACTGGCCGGTCAGTAACAGACACAGTGTATAATTAATGCATAATTATTAATTATTTTAATTTATAGGGCAAGTATCATTTAAAAGCTTTGGCTTATGATCAGAATGATGATGAAATATTTTGTGGAATGATGGAAGTTGATATAAAATGACATTAATTTTTGTAATAATTAGCTGCTTAAAAATAATATTAGTCATTTAATAACAGTAGATCCATTCATTAATTAATGTTATTTTAACTGAAAGACAGGAAATATACACAGACCTGGAACAGTTGTTAAAGTTTATGATAGAATACTAAGAATAGACAGAAGATGAGTGTTCTCCTACTGATCATCCTAACAGTTATACCTAGTCTACCAACATCGACTGGATCTACTAACAATTACTACAATGGTAAGATACTGACTACTATACTAATGGATAATATACCTGTTTCAATTATATATACTACCAACAACAAGACCCTACTGGTAATAAAGGATTCACAGATTGTTGTAAGTTCAGTAATACTTGATTAATTAATTCTCTTACACTCATAAAAGCTATTACTCATGATTTTGTTATCATAACTAATTTATCATTCAACACAACAATTAAACGAGGACAGAGCTATGGTGTCCAAGGAGTCATAAATTTAAGTAATGAAGATACATGTACATGTATTTCAAAAGGTAACGTATTAAACATAATAACTTTATTTTTTAGAAAAGAAGTTGCAAGGGGGCATGTTGCATGTAACTATAACACATCCATTCAAAAATTATACAAACCTTACTTTTGTGGATGTTAAGTATAATCTCTGTGACATGATTGTCTTCTCTACTGGTGAATACTGCCCAATGAAGCCTGGAGTATATCATGGAAAATTTAAGAATACAACTCCATCACTTCTCTGGCCAGTCAGTAACAAACACAGTGTATATAATCAATTCATGATTATTAATAATTTTAATTCATAGGGCAAGTATTATTTAAAAGCTTTGGCTTATGATGAGAATGATGATGAAATATTTTGTGGAATGACAGAAGTTGATATAAATTGACATTACACATTATAACAAAAACTATTAATGTACCATACATAGAAATATTGAGTTGATTTAGAAATTACAGAACATACAAGTTTTAGATACTTTAACTTAGATAAACACAAAACAAAAATAATCGCTGTCAGGAATGTAATGTTTATCTAGCTAGGTAAGCATAATTATTATAGGAATTAAGGATCTATGATTCAGACATTGTGCCTGAGCATCAATTATAAATCGTTCACTACATGATTAATAAAGCAACTGCCTATGATAAACAAATGAAGCTAAAGGACATTAATTTGTAAATGACAGTTTATGGAAGAGTAATTACTTTATTTGACATTAAACCAAAAGTTTATAACGTAGATTTACACAACATACACCTAACATTGCTAATGCTAAACATATACTGTTCATTCATTCAATCACCCAGTACTCATACAAATGTCATATGATATATACTGGTATACCATATAGGGGGTATATTTTATGGGGATTTAATTTCGCTACTTCCACAGTTTTAAAAAATTCCTGAAAATATTTAATAAAAATTATTTTTTATCATACTAATAATGGTCAGTAGAAGAAAAATGCAAACATTTTTTTCTTGTGAATAGGTTGAAAGGTGATTTTTATGAAATATTTTCCACAGGAAATATATCTACCCCTGTGCAGCTTTAGTATTATCTTATTCAAGTAATAATGTCCCTAAATTTTAACCAACCAAAGTGCTACAAACGACACTGCTTTGAGTTATTCATTAAGTATTTATGGTATGTTATTCAACTGAAAGTCAGCAGCATATTCAAAGCATGTGAAAATGTATAAATAAACACAAACAATAACATTCATAACAATATAACAATATGAGGAACTATCACTGTAACATGAACATCGCTAGCAACAAGAAGAAATGATGAATGTCCTATTGATAATCCAATCAGTTGTACTAGTAATATCTACATTGACTGGATCTACTAACAATTACTACAATGGTAAGATACTGACTACTATATTATATTCAATTACTATAATTATTACATTGAATTATTATTATCAACAAGAACCTACTGGTAATAAAGGATTGACAGATTGTTGTAAGTTCAGTAATACTCTTTTAATTAATTCTATCTTACATAAGCCATTACTCATGATTTTGTTACGATAACTAATGTATCATTAAATATATTTGGACTAATAATTAAACAAGGACAAAAATTTTACTTTAAAGGAATTGCTAATATAAGTAACATAGGCAGCTATTACTAATATCAGTTTAATATTTTGTTCCTTAGAAAAAGAACTCAATTGGGGCATTATACATAGTACAATAGCACATCAATTCAAGAACTATGTTAATCTTACTTTTGAGGATTCAAAGTATAATCTCTGTGACATTAGTGTCTATGTGACTGGCAAGTACTGCCCATTGAAACCTGGAATATATCATGGAATATATAAAGACACAATTCCTTCATTTCTGTGGCCAGTA